CGACGATGGTTGCCGGAATCTGGCAAGTATAGGTCGTGGGGGTGTTTTTGATCATTTTTAAACTTTTTTTAGGGTGTATTTGATGAAATTAATAACCTTATGGGGTTTAAAAGTAATTAAAAAAATAGGGTAATGTTTCTGGAATAATGTATCAAACATTATTTGGAGAATAGGGTTGAGAATATGGATAAAAATAATAAGTCAAACATAGCTTAAAATATTAGTGTTAACTAAATGATGCCTTTGGGGTATCTAAAGACGATATGGAAGATTTTGTAAGTTAGGTAGATAGTACCTAAGATGTGAAAGTAGAATTGAAAAAATCACTTTATTAGATTTGGATCAAACAACTTCACATTAATTAACTTGTTACTCATCAAGTTTTGAGTTAACGACTTCTTCCCACCCAAAAAATGGTGTAATGACACTTTTCCACCCTAAGCTTTTAAAATACCACTTTACCACCAAAAAATTATATTCCTTTAACAATTTCCATTAAATATACATTGTGAGGATGAAAACTCTCTAACTAAAGATTAACCCCCAATCGTCGGCGACCATAACGTGCCTCAGCCAAATTTCGGCACCGAAAATTGACGATGTTAGGAAAGCAATCAGGGTCAGGAAACCGAGGGTTTTGTAGGGGAAGATTTGATGAGTATGCGAGTGGTGACAGAAGTGATTTTGGCCATCAGAATCGGTCGGAATCTAGCTTGAACACAAAGAGGCACATGTTAGCAAAGGGTGACACATGTTAGCAACATCGCAGTCGACGGTTCTTGCCTTTTTTTGGCTGATTTCAGCATCCAAAATCACTTTCGAGACCACCTATATACTCCTCACAACCTCCTATACAAAACACACACCTCTTTTTCCCTCCATACCTCCCCTTGTCACCAGCTTTTGCACTTTTTTTTTTCCCTTAATTGCCACTTTCAAACCTAATTCTAATTAACTTTGACCACCAAAATCCAATCTGCCACAGCTAAAAGACTCACCAGCCTCTCTACTACAAAAGCCTCAATAAGTCGGACCATGCTCACTCACTATTTGTTGAGGGCAACTGGAAAAAGGTTGGGAAGTTGCAACAAAACCCTAGGGAATAAGGCTTCAATCGACAATGTTAAGAAAACAATCGAGGTCGGGAAACTTGGGTTTCTTATGAGGGCACAATGGTGAGTCGAATGGCGGGGTAGGCAAGGGCAGATGTAGTTTTATGCCTACCCTCAAATTTTTTGAAAAAATATTAATATATACAATTTATGGATTCACTACTGGGGGTGAGGGATGATTTCCAGCAAAGAGGGCAGCTGAAAAAAGGTTGAGAAATTGTTGAAAACGAAATATGTTTTAGGAGTGATTGATGAAGCCAAAAGACTATCTTACCCCTACTTATAATTGACTTTTGGCTATCAAGTCTTTCCTCACAACGAAAATTACTAATGATTGATAGTAAAGCAGTATTTTAAAAGTCTAAAGATGAGAAAGTGTCATTAAGCCACTTTTGGGAGGGAAAAAGTTGATAACTCTAAGGGTGCGTTTGGTTCAAGGAATGTTGGATTGTTAAAAAGTTAGATTACCTTGAAGATTACTGAAAATCTTTAGGAAAATGTGTTTGGTTAGTTGTGGGTATGTTATATTAATATGTTTGGTTGGGATGAATAAATTGGTGGGTATGTTATTTAAATACTGAATTGTCCTCTATTAAATATTATTATTATATTATTTTTTAATATTGATTATTATTTGGATTGTTATAACACCCCTGCATTTAAAAACTTAGCAAAAACAACACCATAATAAAAGTTTGGAAAATTAACAAAGCACCCCCACCAACCTAGCCACTGTCGACCGGTGGCAACCACCGCAGGCCCGATAGTCGACAAGCTAACGGCGCAAGGAAGGTAGGAAATGGTCTCCGTGCGTCGTATGGCCATTTCCGGCCAGAGATCTGGCGACCAGATCCGTCGATCTGGCATTCAACGGGCAGATCGATGACAGATTTGGCCTTTGACGACCAGATATATCACGATTTGGCAGCCATATCGACGCACGACGACTATTTTCGGCCTTCTGTGTGCTATTCGACGGTAGCGGTGGCTGGCCACTACAGTGGTTGCCGGTGGCAAGCGGCGGCAAGTGGGTAGGGGTGATGGCTTAGGGTGGGCTGCAATATGTTTTGAATTCAAGGGTAATTTTGTCCAAAAAGTTAATTAATTGGGTCGAAATAGTAAAAGTCATATTCATGTAAATAATTTTAAAAATAAGGGTATTATTGTCCTAAAATTTTATTAATCAGGGATAGAATTGTAATAAAAATAGATTACCCTGGTAATCTTATAATACCTAAGAAAATTGATGTAATCAGATTACCTCCAATATTACCAACAATAACTACTATTGATATTTGAAGATTATCAGAATCTTACATTACTTGACAACCAAACGTAATAATCAAATAATATAAGATGCATAACTCCAATAATCTCACGTTACCCCCAACCAAACGCCCCTAAATTTTTATGAATATTTTATATGTCTTGTCAAACACATGGAATTAGTTGGCATATGATACGATGAAGAAATTTTAAGAGTTGAATTTATTGAGTTCAACCTGTAATAATAGAATTAGTTGGTAGATGATACAGGCCATGCAATTTTAAAGTTGAATTTGTTGAATTCAATCTATAATACATTTCTGCATTAAGTTTGGTTTAAAGAAACTATAAGATAATTTATTTTCAAGAAAATCAAAGGGGAATATGTAGTTAGGCTATTGTAACGTTTGGTAACCTTAACATTTCATTGAATACAAGGATTTGTACTTTCTTATAGCATTGCTAAATTGACTTCACGTAAATTGGAACATAAAGTGAAAATCTTAATTTTATAAACATTATGTAGTATTATTGTTTTTAATAACAAAAGGTATTTCGTATTAATCAATCTCTCGTAGGAGTATAAAATAAACCTTATCTTAATAACTCTATAAAAAAAAAAAAAAAAATGGAAACACGAGGGAGATCTAAACAAAATCAAAAATGATTTTAACACATATATGCATATGAAATTAGAATCTTATGAGAACATAAAAGGCTATGTTTAGTGTACCCCATTGTATAATATAGTATTTGTATTATATAGTACTAATTAATACTATATTTACTATGTCTAGTCCATCATTGTATTATATTAATCAATATTTAGATTTTTGATGAAATTTTAATAAGTTTTTACTAAAATTAAATAATCATTGAAAAAACTAATTATTTTTAACTTAGAATTAATGTAGTTATTAAAAAAAACTACATGAAAAATATCACTGAAATCTTCGATTTAACACAATACGTTAATTTGTGGCGCCAAGTTTATTAATGGATTAATAAGTTGAGTAACACTGTACTCACTAACACTTCTCACTAACTTTCTCTTAGTAATGCCACATGTCAATTTACAATTCGTCAATTCACATAGGTCCTATTTATCCAATAATTGGTCCTGCCTAACTAAGACAATCACAAACTCCCACATGGGGTTAGTGAGAGGGATTAGTGAGATTAGTATTATTGTAAGTTAAGAGTTAATTGAAACTCTGGGTACTATTTATAGTTAATCAGTTTGGGATATTCAAGAATGGGCCTAACCTAGCCAACTTGTTAGGGTTATCAAGGATTGTAATCCTTTTCTAATGCTTTAAATCGGATAACTATGAAATCTGCGAATGACAAAACATATTGGGGTTTCAATTCTCTATTAGTAGAAAGCAAAGTGGTAGCTTAAAAACTATCTTAGTGTGATCGAGTGATTCGATATGACTCTTGGATATATTATTCAAAAGATCATAAGTTCGAATCCCTTATTGATTGCTAATAGGGGTAGCTAGTGAAACTCTTATCCAGTCAGTAGTTCAAGGGTCTCAGAAGATTAGTTGAAATACATGTAAGCTGGCCCAAACACCATCGATCATTTTAATTTAACTAACTTTAAGTGGCCGAGTGGTTCGATAGGAACTCTTGGATATATTACCCAAGAGGTCGAACCATTTTAACTATCTCTAGGTGGTCGAGTGGTTCGATAGGGACTCTTGGGTTCTTACCCGATCGGTAGTTATAAGGTCCTAGGGGATTATTTAAGGTGTGCGTAAACTAGCTTGGACACCCTGATCATTTTAATTTTAACTACCTCTAGATGGTCGAGTGGTTCGATAGGGGCTCTTGAGTGTATTACTCAATAGGTCTAACTATTTTAACTATCTCTAGGTGACTGAGTGATTCAATATGGACTCTTGGGTGTATTACTCAAGAGGTCCTGAGTTCAAGTCCCTTCTCGGTTGCTAATAAGGTTAGTCACTAGAACTCTTATCCGGTCGGTAATTTTAAGGTCCTGAAAGATTAGTTGAGGTGTACGTAAGTTGGTCTGAACACCCTCGGTTGTTTAAAAAAAAAAAAAAAGTTGTAGCTTAAATATTAACCGAAAATAATATGTTTATTGATTGGAGTTCAATATTCTTCATAAATTTTTGTACGTTAAGATTAGCATCATCAATGAACTCTTTGTTTATTTCTCTTTATAATCTCAAATGGGTAAATTTGGATAAATTAATATGGATTTCGAAGTCGCCTTTAATTAATTTATTTTAGATAAATATAACAGTAAAATTGGTTCTTAAGTCAGGCTGGGGTTGGGGATAACTTACAATAATGGAAGCTAATTTTCTGATTTATTATAATTGAGGGAACAAAAGAGCACTGTCTGTAGGAAAATTGAAAAAGGGGGTTTGAACATTGGAAATCGAATTTGCCCTCTTGAATTATTTTATTGACTTGGAAATCATATTAACGGTACTCATTTCAGTCTCATCTCATCATATCGTACCCATACGTAGTCTAAAGCTTCTTATAACCACACATGAAGCTAAAATACGTGTGGGTCCGTATTCCATAATTGGCGTGTGTGTCAACTTAAAAAGCGTAACCAACCGACCAATTACCGTTTTCCACCTTCTTCCTTCACTTTTCCTCCCGACGCTTTCTTCCCACACGCAACTCACCTCCAATACTTTCTGAGTTCTGACTCCTCTTCTCTTCCTCATTTATTCATTTGAATCTCACTTATTCTCTGCACACTTATTGAACGATTTATACTTGGATCATTTATTCAATTGCTTTACTTCCATTTTTAATTTTAAAATAAAGAGGAATAATGAGCTCCATTTCTATGCCGAGTTGTCTCACACTCGCGCGACTCCACCGCGTTCACTCCGTTCCCCATCGTCAGTTCCCGTGCACAGTAGTAGCGGCAAGATCACTGTTTCTTTCAAAGCGTCGAAACTGCAGTTTCTCTCGCGAGCCCGCGGCTGTCGCTCATAACGGCGCCGGGATCACCAACTCCGTTCCGGTAAATCTGTTTTTCTTTGATTGTTTATGTATATGTATTTTTTTTTTTATTAGTTTAGCTCTGTTTGAAGGAGAGCTTATAAATGTAGTTGATCTGTAATATTTAATTCGTGGAATAATTTAAGCTTACCGTTTTGACTCACGTACAGACATATTGAAACTTTATGAAATTAAAAAAAAAAAAAAATGTAAGAGTGTAGACGTTATACAACTGTAAGCTAAAATACCGTTATGTTGCTACATGAAGGGGATATAATAAAAGCACTATTGATAAATAAAAGTATTCTCATTAATTTTTTTTTTTTTTTTGGATTAAAGTGATTTTAGATGAAAAAAGAATCGTCAAACTATTTTTTGGAGACATATTTGATTAGCGTAATTTGTTAGAAAACAGAGCACTTTATTGGAAGGCAAATAGCATACATCACTTCCAGAGACACACGAAGAGAAAGAACATTTAATAACTTGTTCAGCGAACAAAGGTTTGTAGCAAAGACCAATATAGAGAACACCACATCATCTTTAATAAGGTTTTATAACTCTTGCTAGATCATCAATAGATGTTACAATATGCGTGTTACACTTACATCAATGCGCACATGTACTTTTCCTAGTTGTTTTCCATGTATGATCGTATAAACTTGATCTGATTAGTTTAGTTTAGTTTTCGTTTTTGTTTCTGTATCCAGTGATGTTTGAATATAAATGCTTCAGAATGAAGGGTTAGGAATTTTTGAGGATTAAAGTAAAAGAATTGATTTCTTTGATCCAAATAAATATATCTTTAATGGTTATTAATTTAAAAAGAACAACAAAATCAAACAGTTTAATAATTCAAAGTAGTATATGATAAGTTTTTTACACAGAAAAAAAAAAATGACCTCTTAATATATCTTCTTTAATATTTTTTCAGCCAGGAAATGGAACGTACACAGTTGGTGATTTTATGACAAGGAAGGAGGATTTACATGTTGTGAAGACTACAACAACAGTTGATGAAGGTATTTCTGACACATGGAAGAGAACTTTGGTATATTTTTTTATTATTTTTTCATTGACAATATATTGTTGGTACAGCACTTGAGGGTCTTGTTGAGAAGAGAATAACTGGTTTTCCTGTGATAGATGATGACTGGAAACTGGTAACTTCAATTACTTCGAATTTTCTGTTTGCATATGAACATTTATCCCTCTTTTCCAGTTTCTAAGTCGTGAGCTTTCTGTAGTTGTAAGAATTTGTTCTTAATGTTAATGTAATGTTGACATTATTGCTTATTTTGTAAATGAAATTTTCATTTAATGACAATATTTGCAATCTCTAGGAACTCTTATCTTTGAAATAATAGAGAATGATGTAGAGAAAACAATTTTTTTTTGCAAAATATTGAAAAACACTATTATTTGAATGTCTATCACTCTACACTTTGATCTAGATGTGTTTCTCTTTATGGAATCAAATGAAGCTTTGATTTTAGTTATCTTAGTGCACTTTCATAGATTTCTGCCTCGAATAGTTTTCCTGGTGAAAAGGATCCATTTATAAGAATTAGGTTGACAATCACCTCACCTCCTTAATTTTTGAAGGATACCCAGTTTTGAGCAAAGTAATGAGAATATTGTTTGTGCCTTAAGATGTTTTTGTAGTGAACCACAACTCATTCAACCTGGCACCAAGTAGATGAGGTATCAAGTTATTGAAAACATGCCTATTTTCTTGTAAAACAGTAAAAAGAACCCTGTGCGACTATTGTTTATTGCTTCTGAAATCCTTATATTTGCTAACTATTATTGGAAAACCATATCTTATTCTTTATTGACACAATATATCTGGGTTAGCTCAACATCTAATGTAAACGAGCTTGTATTTTTCTTATCTAATCAAAATTGTGTTAATTTTCTGTGCAGGTTGGTGTTGTTTCAGATTATGACTTGTTAGCAATCGACTCCATATCAGGTAGTATACGAATGAAGCCAGAGTTGAGGGATTATTTATTTATTTTTTTTTCCTTCAGGGAATCTCATTTATGTTTTACTTCATGATTGTTGCAAATTGTTGATGGGAGAAGCTTTTTAAGAGAACATAGCTGCTGATGACATGTTCCTTGTTGACATAGCAATTCATTCAATATTTTAATTTAGTCCTTGGCTTTTTAGCTTTGTTAGGAAATTTTAAAGCTACCAGGAATATTGGGAAATGTAAGTCTGTACAAATTTAAACATGTTAATGGTTTTTTAAGTAATTTAAAGTTGCAGTTCCGAAACTCTTAGAATTTTTACTGGAAGAAGATTAGAGCTGTGTGGAATTTTGGAGGAGTTTCATAGACTGTTGATAGTGACCTTGTCAGAAATGGATTTCTTCTGCTAAGATTGCTGATAAAATTTAACTGTAACATATCCTTTTTTCTCTCTTTTCTCTATTTTCATGACAATTATTACTTACTTTGGGAGAGGCCACCGGCTTTAAGATTTAAGAATTGCTAACATAGTGGATAAATGTGATACGGGAGTTTCCCACTGTGTGGCTATAGCCCTAGTCTAACCCAGCATCCTTTGTCTCTGGTTTGACCTAATAGGTTCTAATTTATTTTGTTTCTTTTCACTAGATATCACTCTGCTTTGCGGTGCTGTGGGTTCTCAATGTTGTTTAACATTTTCTGTCTTATTTTTGATGCTTCTTGTGAGATTTTATATGAAACTGTTATTGATTGCTTTGTTTTTAATGGCTGTTAGGTTGCAATCAAAATGATGCAAACCTGTTTCCTAATGTCAATAGTTCTTGGAAAGTACGTATTACTATTATCTTTCATTTTCTTGTCTTAAGCTTTATTTAAAAGTAGCTTCTGTTGGAGAAATCCTACACTTATGTAGTATCTCAATTTTGTATACCAATTAATGTGATTCTGATTTGACATAGTTATGTACATTTCATCCTATCATTTATGAAGGGTAAACAAATCAATTATTTCATCACTTGAGATACAATATTTGGATGCTTCATAACTATATTTTGTTGTAATTTTGAATGTTGCTCTTTCTTAATTCTTAATCATTGTGGCAGACATTCAATGAGATACAGAGACTGCTTAGTAAGACTAATGGAAAAGTTGTTGGTGACTTGATGACGTCTGCTCCCCTTGTTGTTTATGAAAACACCAACTTAGAAGATGCTGCTAGGTATTGGATTCATCTGCTTTTCCAATATCTATTTTGCTGTTCATTTGAAAATTTCATCAACTATTTACGTATCAATGTTCCATAGTTTTTATTTGAGGATCTACAGAAAAGAGTGTCTATTTTAGGGTGTCTTTCTTTGGGGTTAATTTATGGCTTTCAAAGTGGTGTAATGTGATTCTCAAACATATTATAAACTGTGATGCTGAACATCCTTGTTATATACATTCCGCATAAGAAATGAATAACAGGCTGTCACAATTTGATTGCACTAAGTAAAATCTTTGATGGCAGGTTGTTGCTAGAAACAAAATACCGTAGATTGCCAGTAGTAGATGCTGATGGGAAGCTGGTAAGAAATTTGATATGAACATCTCTTACCAAAAATTTCAACTCTTTGGATGTGCTCATAAAAAAAATATGCAATTTCTATCTCTCTGATCGGTGCATGTTCTTAAATTTTGAAGGTTGGAATCATCACAAGGGGAAATGTTGTTAGAGCTGCTCTGCAGATAAAACGTTCAGGTGAGAGGTTGACATGATTATGAGATCACATGTTTGACCTTGCTGCTGCCATTCTTTTTACCCCCATCCGTTATGCAGACTGTTCTAGATTTTACTTAATTGGGCTACGTATACTGCAGTGTAGTTCTCATTGTCCTAGATTATATACTTTGTCCTAGTTCAACGATTAAAGGCTAGCAGTTAATAGGTCTCTTGCCCTTAGAGCCAACTTGATATCGAATGCCTTGTAGTAACTTGCAATTATTCCTTGAAATTTTCAGTAATATTGATATATATAGGCTTGATAAATATTGAATTATTAGCTAGGATCAAATTTGTCTGGAACAATGATTTTTGTATCACAAATTATAAATAGCTTTCCCCTTGTAGTTATGCTAGGAGCTTATGTATTTTTAAGTCTCCATCATTATGTTATCGATATTATTTTCAATACATTGGAGTATTATTGAGCTACGCAGCAGGTTTGTTTGTTTCATTTTATTAGTCAATGAACAAATTAAAAAAAAAAAAAAAAAAAGATGTCTATGTTATGAAACCTGAGGGTTCAAATTTTATGTTAAGTTGAAATTTCAGAAGAAAAAATGCAACACTATTTGAAGAAATAAACAATTAGGGGACACTTTTTTTCAAAATCTCAACTACAGAACACTTAACGGTGAAATACGTTAACTTTAACTTGATTTTCTAAAATGACTTAAATATCCATGTATATTGTAATTATGATGTCATTTTTTTCCAAAATAATAATAATATATGTATAATTATGTAAGTTAAAAATTCAAAACTAAAACACAAAATATAATAAAAAATATTTGTCAACTTATTTATTTATGAATCTCATTGAAATGAAAAGTGTATTTTATAAAATTGCATTAATATTTTTAACAAATTTAAAGTTAATTGTGTTTTATTATTAAGTATCCTATAATTATAACTTGTAAGTTTCGTATAAAACGTACCCTCTAAATAGTGCTTTCTAAGTATGTTTTGCCCAAAAACTGGTCCCTTTATGATTGGTCCTTGGGGAGGGGTGATCGGGCCTAGGCCGATTCCTCCTCCAGGGTTGGTCCTAGGCCCGAGCCAGATTAATTTAAAAAACCCCCTAACCCAATTACCAAAACCACATATAATATAAAATAAATAATAAATTTAGGGTTTAAAATGTAATTTTATAATTAGGGGGTTCAATTGAAATTTTTCAAGCCCATCAAATTGGTCCTAAACAGGTCAGGCCCGAGTTTGGGACCAATTTGGGCTCTCACAAAAGTGACGGACCCAATATCAGTCCCCGCTAATTTGGGCTTAAGATCGGGCCCAAATTGGGATTGATCATAGTTGGGCTCGGGCCTGAGATTGTCAGGCCCAACTTTTGTCCACCTCTACTTTAGAGGGGATTGTGATATTTCTCTAACCAATTTTTGGAGATCAAGTGGTTCGATGAGGTGTCTTAAATACATTATTTAATAGATTTTGAGTTTGTGTCTCTTATTAATTGTTAATAAATATGACCACTTAAATTTTAAGATAATTAAAACTAACGTAGCACTCCTAATTTTTTTTAAGAAAAAAGGGACCCTTCTTTGATCACCGCGTTCTCACGCTAAACTCCGAAAGCAAATTTGTGTAGTGGGCCAATGGATGACGTCCCTGCACATGTAAGCTATTTTGTATGATAGTCGTCAACAGTTCTAACGTATTGTTTTCAATACGTATCTTCCTTTCCAGGTATAGGAATTAATTACTATTCGCCATTCGTATAAATTCCCCGTTTCTCTCTTTATTCTACACCCAAGTGCACATGTAACCTAGCCTCCTCTCTTTTCCCTTCTCTGTTTTCTCTTCTGTGTGTCCATGGACTCAAAATCTTCTCCAGTTGAAATCTTCTTTTTCCCCTATGTCGGAGGAGGCCATCAAATCCCCATGATTGACATAGCTAGAATCTTTGCTTCTCATGGTGCCAAATCCACCGTCATCACAACCCCAAAACACGCTCTTTCTTTCCAAAAATCCATTAACCGTGACCAAGAATCTGGCCTCTCCGTCTCCATCAAGACTCTCCATTTACCAGACGACATAGACATAGCAGACACAGACATGTCTGCTTCACCACACACTGACACTTCTATGCTTCAAGAACCACTTAAAGCGCTTCTTGCTGAGCACAAACCTGATTGCATAGTTCATGATGCGTTTCATCGCTGGTCTGCTGAAGCAATCTACAGTCTTGGTATTCCGAGACTTGTGTTTAATGGGAATGGTTGCTTCTCCCGTTGTGTCATGGAAAATTTGGGAAAGTATAAGCCTCATGAGAAGGCGAGTTCTGATTACGAGCCTTTTGTTGTTCCTGGTCTTCCTGATCGAGTTGAACTCACCAAATCTCAGCTTCCAATTATGATAAGACAACCTCAGCAACGTGGGTTTGTTCCTAAAAAGATGGGAAAGCCTGAAGAGAACAGTTTTGGGGTTGTGGTTAACAGTTTTTATGAACTGGAGCCGGCTTATGTTGAGTATTTCAAGAAAGAGATGGGTAACAAAGCGTGGCTTGTTGGACCAGTTTCTTTATGTAACAGGAATGTTGAAGATAAAGCTGAAAGAGGCAAAAAGGCCACCGTTGATGAACAGCAAGTTCTCAGCTTTCTTGACTCTAAAGAACCCAGTTCGGTTCTTTACATTAGTTTCGGAAGCTTAGCTCGTTTGGCTCCTGAACAGCTCCTGGAGATTGCCTACGGTCTTGAGGCTTCTAATCATCCATTCATTTGGGCTGTTGGAAAGATTTTCCGATCCGCTGTGAAGGACATAGAAAATGAAGAAACTTGGCTTCCCAGTGGATTTGAAGAGAGAATTAGAGAGTCCAAGAGAGGACTAATAATAAGAGGATGGGCACCACAGCTTTTAATTCTAGAACACCCGGCAGTGGGGGGTTTTCTAACACATTGTGGCTGGAACTCGACGCTAGAAGGCGTGTGTGCCGGTCTGCCAATGATAACTTGGCCTATTACAGCAGAGCAATTTTCGAATGAGAAACTGATTGCGGATGTGTTGAAGATTGGTGTGAAGGTTGGGAGCATGCACTGGGTGTCCTGGAGCACTGAGCCTTGGGCTGCTGTAGGGAGAGACAAGGTGGATATGGCGGTGAAAAGGCTGATGAGTGGCGATGAGGAGGCGGTGGAGATGAGGAGAAGAGCTAGAGAGCTTGGAGAGAAGGCCAAGAGAGCTGTTGAAGGAGGTGGCTCATCTTATATGGATGCTGATGCTTTACTTCAAGAGCTCAAGTCTGTCCGGAAATCTGAGTCTTGAAATGTATTTGCTCAAGGACTAACTTTTGGCATCACAGAAAGTTAAATAATTTGCAGACAAGGCTTTGTTGCTAGAAAATATAACATAAATATAGGAAAGATCATCTTATTGATTTCATGGTTTCAGGTTTGAAAAGTTTTAAGTTGGTTAAAATAGTTCTGATCGTTAGAAAAACATGGCAATCTTTGACCCATACCTGTGAGCCTACGGATACCCGGATAAAACGGGCGAGTACAGGTGTTCATAGTATTTACCCGTTTTAAAATTACTCATACCCGGTTCGCCCGTAAAAATTACGGGTGAATTGGGTGATGCCCGCAGGTTCCCGCGGGTACCCGCGCAAAATAAAATAAAATAAAAATTAAAACAAGCAGCCTACTCTCTCCTTTCAACTCTGTATCACTCTCTACCAAACAAACAAGTATTTTTATTCTCTTTTCTCCAGATTCAATTCAAAAGTTTGGAATGACGATTTGAGTTTCAGCTTCAACAATTCTTTCCTTGAGCACTAAAGCTTCTTCTAGAAACCTCTCCAAACTCTCATCGCTATCTTCTTTGCAGTTCCTTGTACAGTTTTGTCAGATCAAATTATTAACAACAGTCAGATTTCATCTCCCTCCCGGCCTCATCCTCTTGTACTTATTTGATTTGTGTTTTGTTCAACTAAAGAAGAAAGGGTTTGTCTAAAGAAGAAGGAAGAGAAATTGGGTTTTTCTGAAAAAGAAGGAAGAGAAAGGTTGTTGGGATTCTAAATAAACAAGATCTGCTAGCGACACAAGAGAAGGTGGGCTTGTACGAAGAAGAAGGAAGAGAAAGGTTGTTGGGATTTTAAAGAAACAAGATCTATGACTGTGAGCTAAGGAAGAGAAAGGTTGTTGGGATTGTTGAACTTTCTCTCTCTTCCTATTTTTACTTCGTGGGTTATTTTTGCAGGCGGCAGAATTTTCAAGCTTTAACAAAGAGAGGCGGTGGCTAGAACTAACAAAAAACTGGAAAAAAGTCCACTTTATGCGTTGACCCACGGGTTGACCTGTCCCTATACGGATAGGGTATGGGTTATGTATTTTCCGACCCGTGAAGTTTTTTACCCATAAACTCATACCCGTTTTATCCGTTACCTGCAGTATCTGGCCCGTACCCGCCCAGCCTGTCCGTTTGCCAGGTCTATCCTTATCCATAGAGGTGTAAAATGATTTGGGTTGAATTGGATTAGCATTAATCAATGAGACTCAGACATATGGATTGGTTTCTTCTGATATTAACTTGTAATTCTCGATTCCTCTGGATGGAAATCTTTTCAAAGTATGGAAGACCAGTATTTGCTCACGTGGTTGGTGTCCCACCTTAAAGATATCAATTCACTTTTATTGCTGGAGGTGGTCCAAGACTCCAAGCCAACTAATAGATTTTCACAGTTTGTCTTGTTATATTATCGTGGTTTATTAAAATAGGTTGTCCAAGACTAATACTAGACTTGTATTTTATTAATATTTTATTGAAAACATATAAAATATTAGTTTCATATACTATTATTATTATTATTATTTTGCTAAATAAGTAAAAAGTATTAAAAAGAAGAAGGATATACAAAGGTCTACAAAAAAGGCGGCCAACCTACATCGGGATATTCCCTGCGTGGGTGCAAAAAATAAACAATTACCTAAACTTGACCTTCACAATTTTCTTGAGAGCTTATCTAAACCAAGAGAAATGGGAGATAAGACTCAAGAGAAAGAATCTAGCTAAGAAATCAACAACAAAACACCACCTTTAGGACAATCCCCTAGGTTTGACTCCAAAAAACACATACAATGAGACATAAAGAAGACTCAAGGCAAAGAAAACAAAGAGAGTGAGGATACACCACGACAAAGTCTTCACAATAACAATGAGCAAGTCAGTAAGTCTCTCATAAAAAAATAGCGTCTCACTCGATCACATGGTCATCAATAACGCCGGGAGTGGAATGGGTGTCTTTGAAGATGGTTCTAGGAAGTCTCCATGTATAAGCCAATTTCCAATTTTTATAGGAAGATTTAATATTGCTAAGGTCCATGGCTTTGTCTCTCACCACACTTTTGATAGTATCGATAATAGTGCGAGAATCCTTGCATTCTCCCCTAAAGATCCTACAA